GCGAGCAGCGGGGTGACCGGGCCTCAGTGCCACCCTACTGGGCTCTGCATTGCCTCAGCGAAAACCCGTCTGAGACCCTCCGGGCTTGCAGTGGGGAGCGGCCCTTTGGCTTTGTTCCCATCCCGCAGCGCCTGTTGTTCTTACCTATAGCTTCAAACCAGAGATACCTATAGCGAAGAAACACATGGCAGTGGAGTCCTCGGAATCGCCCTGTGTGCTTTGCCTCCTGCATACCGCTCTTAAATTGTAGGTGGTCAGGAGCAGCGGTGCTTTCCCTCTGTGTCGTACAGCCCTGAACATTAGTTTGCCTGCCAAATAAGCCATGGCTAGGTATCCGCATTTCCTCCACCTCCTCCACGCGTTCTGGTAAGCAAACCGAAGTCTGGGTTTGGAGTTTGAACTTCCCTATTTCTACTCTGTGGGCCAGTTCTGCAAGGGGCCATACCTGCAACCACAGGGCCCACTTCTACATAGAGGTTGCGAAATAGAAGATGTTATCAGGACTGATGTGGCTGCTGCCATCTGCTACCCCAAATTACAAGGCCTGCAACATCATTGGGATAAAGTCTACTCCTACAGAGCCCTACAGAAACAACCCAGGATTCTTTTTTTTTTTCCCAGTCCTCTCTCACTTGCTTTCCCCTCCACCCGTGCCCACCTCTCATGGATATGGAACTTTCTGGTTGTACCAGTTCGCTCAGCTCTGGCGAGCAGGCTGCATGTTGACATTTACAAGTATTCCGCTGCCTTGTAAACTTCTCCTCACTGCCTACCCTTTGCCGGAAACAGAGCAGAAGACTTCAGTGGAAAGGAACTGCCACGTGTATGCCAAAGATCCAAAACACCCAGGGCAGGCCAAATTTTAGGTTATTGTTCTTAACTGTTCCTTTAATGTACATTTTAAATCAAGAAATACAGTCCACAATCATAAATTTAAGCATAGGTTCATGCAGGCTTATTAGAACAGACTTCAAGGTGTCAACATTTACTCTGAAAGCACTTGGCAAACATTACGTTCATTAGTTAGCATTTGGATGACGTCCTGAGTGTTACTGTTTTGGTTAAAATGGTATTTTTGAACGTGAGCATTTCTGCCCAAAATCACCAGTCCAGTTAGGCAGCAGACTGCCTCTGTACTGAAGCAAGACCACAGGAATAATATTATTATTGTCTTGACAAGGAGCCTCAGAAAAAGCCACTGCAAGTGAACGGAACAGTGTATTTTCCCACTTTAATCATGTCATAGACAGCATCCTTCCTGGAAGGTTCATTCCTTTAAAAACTAGCCCAGGAAATGTCAACGGGAAGACAGGGAATCAGGAGAGGTGTAAGTGTGCACAGAGTATGGTAGGCAGTACTTGTCCCTGATTTCTGTGCCGGCCAAGTTCTCATTACTGGAATGCTCTGGCTGCTTATTTCAATGAGTCCCTTTCACTCCGAGGACGCGCTGCCCTTCTGGAGTTCAGACTCTTTGCGGCAATCGCTGCATTTTCTCTCCTTGCTGACGTTCATCTTGTGCGCTGCATCGCTTGCGCTGAAGGAAAACTGGACGACCTGGACAGTTGTTCTCCAGACTCTCTCGGGACCTTCTTTAGCAAGAGTCCTCCCCGGTCCTTCCCGATTTCTCTTCTCTTTTTCGATCTTCTCAGCTAACCCTCACTCCCTCTACGTCGTGCTACGCGATTAGGTCCTTCTGCGCAGCTTTGAAAGCGCCTCTCTGCCCCCTGCCATTAGTCCCCCTCACCTGACAACGCGCGTTAATACCGAGCTACGCAAAACGCCCTTGATCAAACGCTGTTTTCGGCAGCGTCCGTTCGCGGCTGGACGCCCGAGCAGAACTTGCCCAGGCGTCTGTTTTCGGCAAGCCCTGCCGGGCCTCGCTGCTGAGCTCTCCCCGCCGCACGGCGCGGGGCGGCTTCGCTGGGTACCCCGCGGCGCGGCTTAACCCCTCGGGCAGCAGCGGGAAGGCGGGGTGGGGAAGCCCGTCGGCGCAGCGGTAGCGGGCGCTAACCGCCGCTAGGTGTCCTCTGGCAATTGCGCGGTGCCGGCGCTGGCGCCCCGCTCTGCGCGGGGGCTGCGTTCTCACCCCGCTTTGCCACGCTTGCCTGTGTAGTGACTAACCTACCCCTGCCGTGGCTGATTCTCTGCTGCCTGTACCGTCAGGGAAGCTAAATTGCTCTTTTATAAGCTTGGCTGCGTTTCATGCGCAAACTTAGGAAGCTGGTAGTGTACTGTACTAATAGGTAACAGAGCTGTAATATTTTGTACGCTAAGAACAATATTTGCATTTACTTACCGGGTTTTCTTTTCAAGGCTCGTTTTACAAAGCACTTTGGATGCAAATCAGCTTTCTCCAAGAATATTTCGGTGTTTCACCTACCATCCTAAGGAACACTATGCTTAAAAAATCCTGACTGAAGTTATCTGTGAGTCATGGCATTTCCTTATCCTCTGAAAAAATGCTAGTCAATCCCTACCAGACTGCAGTGGTGAGATTAACTCCTTCCTGCACACAGGGTGAATTCACCCCTCTGTGCCCACAGCCTGTCTAAGAGGGCTTAATTTGGACATGAGAAATGCTTAGGCATTCTGCTGTGTGGTGCCTCTGAGGCCGATGTCCACCATTAGAGAACAGACTAACTATGGCACTGCCTGTGAATAAAAAAATCTTTCTTGGCTGACAGAATGTACTTCATGACGGAACTGTGATACCTTACTTAACAGGTCTAAACATTTACAGCCAACAAGCTAAACGTTTAGGTTGCGTTCCCAAAATTATACCTTACCTGCACCTTGACAAGATCCAGCACACTGATATGTATTAGGGGTTTGCTGTTAGGAGAGTCTGGAGGCTTGCTGTGATCACTGCTTTTTTTTCTTTCTTCCTTTTTTTTCCTCTCTCCCTTTTTTTCTCTCTCAATCTCTCACTCCTCCAGTATCATTCCTTTTGGCTTCCAGGCTACCACCTGTGTACCCCTAGGGAGTCAACAAGGAAGAACAAGGGCCAGAAACCAGAACACAGGTGAAAAGAGGAGCTTCTTGCAATAATAAAGGGCTGTTCAAGCCTCAAGAACACAAGAGCAAATGGGGTAAGAGGAATCCCTTGCCCGAACTAAAAACTGATAAACATAAAAATGTAATTGAAAAGGGTTGGAGAGAAAGGAGGAGGCTGATTTTCCCTTCAGATTCCAATTCTTCCAGGATGCATGTATCCTTAGAAAAGGACACTCACTTGCTGCAGATTGGGGATAAGTCACCTACAGCAGGACAGTCCAGCCTTTGACAATATGGACCCAGAAGGTATTATAACAGTTCAGCCATGGGCCAGATAACATACAAGCAGAAGCCAGACTTAAGACATCCCACAGGCCACAGCTTGGACAGCTCTGATTAAGAGGGTGCCAAATTTTTCCTGCAGTATCTTTTCTTTGCTTCTCCCCTTCATATTTAATTTCAAAGTATCCAGCTCAGCCACATTTGAAGCCAATCTTCAGACACTATTAATACACAGGGAGTTGTTCCAATATCTCCTACAGACTGTTTGTTTCCAGTGATGTAAAGACAACTCTAACAACAAAAGTGGACTTTTCCATTCGTTGTTGGGGAAGTGGGTCAGAGTGGGATCCTTGGAAGTGGTGTAGGAGGTGGAGAAAACATCTGGTAGCCACATGATGAGGCATGTTTTGCTGACACAAGGCACTCATGAATAGGCAGGCTGAATGAAGAAAGTTTAGGTTTGTTTCCTCAGCCTTGGGCACAAGCCTAGAATCCAGGTGAAGTAAGTAAGCACTGAGCACAAGATCTCACCAATGCATAAAGACGTCATCTCACTCACAACTCTTTTTGCTGACGTTGCTCAGTATTTCCTGATGCAGTTAATGAGGTGAGGTGCTCTATAAGGGAATTCTGGCCAGGTCTTTGGAGCAACCTCAACTCCCTCTGGTCACACCAGAGGAAAGCTGTGAGCAGTAGCAGGGAGGCAGCCACTGGCTTCGCACACTCCCTGTGAATCACCATGCCATCCACAGGCTGGTGCAAAGGTCACACTGCAGGCAAATCCCCAGACTTCATGCTTCTGTAGATCCAGCAGCCCTGGAGCCACACACGCATAGCCCAGGGACATAAGAGCTCTTATTCCAGTAACCACGACTGTTTGGCAGTTTCTTTTACCTCAGAGTAGGCTGAGGGTGGATTTTGCTCTTCTAACCCCAAGCTGCCCTTTCATTTGGACATTATGGGGGTGAAACCACGTACTCACAATCTGTAAAGTGCCTATTTCACATGTTGCTCTTAAAGCACAAGCACAGTTTACCGCAATACTAATATTTCATCCCAGTGGCTCCCCTAAACTACGAGCAATTCAGTGAAACAAAACATCCTCTGTATCCTCTGAAACTGGTTTTGAAAGCTCAGATGGAGGAAAATACTATTGGTTTTAATTAGCAATATCCTTCACATGAATTCCCTATTAACCAAAGCAGCATACTGTATTTCATCTCACTTCCTCTAGTTTACTTACTACTGCCTCTCTTCTCTGTGGTTTACCAGCAGGAAACCACTGGAGGGGACATATCCAGATAAGATTAAACAACATAATATTATCATCTTTACTATAACCAGGCTGACAGTTTTTCTGATAGATGCTGAAATGAGATTCACAGCCGTTTTGGCTTCCATTCACTGTGGAGAGAAGCCGTTCTTTTAATTCCACACTATTTCACTAATTCCCCAACTATTTCACTTGTGACAGGCCTCTTTTTTTTCTTTTTTTTTTTTTTTCCTTCACTGAAATGCGCCAGACAATAAGCTAGGTTCACCCTAGTTGAATGTAACAGGAAGCAGAACCTGGGTGTCCTGGCAGTGGACATACCATCTCCAAGGGTAAGACTATGGCAGAGCAAGGCAGCTGTAGCCTCTCCTCTGCTGAGGAGCTATTGGAAAGCCACCAAGTGGCTTCCTTCTAGTGGTGGTGAGACAAGAGTGTGCCTGGCTCCATACATTTCTACCACAGGTTCCCCCTGAGGGTCTTTCAATGGACACAAAGCCTTAAGAGTACAGAAGTGAAAGAAGAGAGGCAGACAGAAGCAGGAAAAAGGTGAATTTCTCTTGCACCATGCTGATCAAACTGTACCGTGGATATTCCCAGTCTGAATTCTCTGTGCATTGTCTTGCTGGGTAACATACACAACCACCCTGCAGCAGTGTGGGTTGACTTGCATAAAGCCTGTGAAATTTGCACCCATCACATACATCACGTTTTACTGGGACTGGAGCAATAATAGCCAATGTCCAACATGGATGTTCAGTTTCTACTTGCAAAAAAATCTCCATAGTCTTTTATGGGATGAGTACTCTTCCACACTTCCGGCAGCGTGCTGCTGTGCTCTTTATCAGAAACCTTCAGTGACTTGAAAAGACATCTCTAATCCCTTAGCTGTTTCACAGATACTGAGACTGCATTCATTCCCGAGGAATTTCTCCTGCCAGGTAACAGAAAGTTCACCCAGTAAGGGAATCTCCTCACTGTAAATAGGTTGCAACATCCGACTCTGCTGGGGAGGGAGGGGAAAGGACTGGAGTAAATTGGCATGATGAGGCATGTGAATGAAGTCAGCCAGGGAGAAAAGACAGCCCAGGCATCAAGAGACAGGCTGCTTCAGCACATCTCCCGGGCAACTTCTGCTGGCAGGCCTCTTAATGTCTGCATCTTAGGTTAGGCAAACTGATGATATGCACCAAAATTCCATCATAATTATCACTGACTTCAGTTTTTAATACGACCGCTCCTCTTGTTTTTGGTTGCTATCGATTTGACAAGCATGTTTTCTGGGACTGACATTTTCCAGAGTTGGTTTTAGCACGTGACAAGTTTGGGGTATTTGAAAGATGAAAGAAAATCAGCGGAGCTATTAAAGGATGTAAATATTATTTTCCATATGGTCCAACCAGAACTTTTGCACTTGACTAACTCAGAAAAATCTGAAATTAGAAAATGTAAACAAAATTATTTTGTAAAAAATACTTTGCTCTTGATAGAAAAATGTTCAGAGCTAATTTTTTAAGAAGTTTTAAAGTTTTGGCATTTCTTAGTTGGCAGTTTTACTACATTGATTAAAACTTTCATTTTAAGATGCTTTAATGAGATATAATTGGATGGGTTGTTTCTCAAATGGAATAAAAGATTGTGTATATTTAGACTAGATAGTTCTTTCAATAACCAAGGCAGGCTGAAAAAGAGAAGATGCTATGAAAGCACTATTGATCTCACTACACTAATCTAATTTATTTGGGAAAGACTTAAGACGGTGATGGAAAGTATGGAAAATCCATTGATAGAGAGATTGATCTTTGTTAAGGACATTCTACTGGAAGAAAATTTGTTAATATCTTTTCAATCTCCCATAAATTCTTAGACTTTAAAGCTCTAAAGGCCCATTTGTGATAATCTAGTCTGACCTCCTGTATATGACATGCCATTGAACTTCCATGAACTAATTTTTGTTTCAACTAGGTGCCTTCTGGAAAAATTTCCAGTCATTCTATATGTATTCTCATTGACGGAAAATTCACTGAAGTCCTTGGTAAATTGTTTCAATTACTTTCGCTGTTAAAAACGTGTGCCTTATTCCTAGTTTGAACTGTCTTGCCTTTTAGTTAATGCATCTTGTTATACTTTTGTCCACTATACTGAAAAGTTCATTCATGCTGTGTGCTCAGTGCTGGAACATACAGACTGTAACTCTGTTACTCCTCAATCAGTTCTTTTGTAAAGGAAATAGGTACCGCGCTCAGAGTTTTTTGCTATGATCTGTTTTTCATTTCCCATAATAATTCTCGTGGCTTTTCTCTGCATTGTTTTCCCTCTGAGCTCATTCTAAATTCCTTCCTGAAATACGGGAGAATGTAGATGCCATACTGTCAAGAACCCCAGGGAGATGTCTTCCTCACGCATGGATCTTTGTTAAGTTGCTATTGAACTGTTCGGTTACTTTTCAA